GGCAGCAGATTTGCCCAATACAATACGAAGCTTGGTTTTTTAACTGCTGTTTCCTGAGCATTAATTGTGGATCCAAGTACGATGAAATCCTTGACAACTACAAACTTTTCTCCATTTATCATGATGTTGTTTATTGGTCCAATTGTCTAGTGTTTTTAATTTCTCTACATTGAGGTGCAATCCATACTTAAGGTTATTGTCTTTGATCTTCATCAGTAAGTGCTTCAAGTCCTTTCCTGTTTGCTTTCAGCAAACAAAGGTTGTGTCATTTTATATCACAGGTTGTTAATAAGCCTTCCTCCAATCCTGTATGAAGAGGAATGCTGTAGTTTTCTTCATAAAGCCCACCTTTTCTGATTATTGTTCAATATATAGATTGAATAAGTGTGATGAAAGGATACAGCCCTGATTTAAAACAACTCACTATCCCCTGCTCTGTGTATTTTAGATAAATTAAAAAAAATACAGTATCTTTCAAAGATGTTTCACTTGTATATTCTTTCAAAAGCGTAACAATGTGAAATATATGTAGATTTAGAAATCTGTAAGAAAGATGTTTTCTTGTGCTTTAGTGATTATGCAAAGGCTTTTGACTGTGTGGATCATGACAAGGTATGGATAACGTTGTGAAAAGTGGGTATTCCAGAACACTTGATTTTTCTCATGAGGACTTGTACACAGACCAAGAGGAAGTCATTCAAACAAAATAAAGAGACACTGAACAGTTTAAAATCAGGAAAGGTTTGCACCAGTGCTGTATTCTGTCAGCATACTTATTCAATCTGTATGCTGAGTGAATAATCCAAGAAGCTGTATTATATGAAGAAGAACATGGCATCAGAATTGGAGGAAGACTCATTAACAACCTTCAATATGCAGATAATGCAACCTTGCTTGTTGGTAGCAAAGAAGACAAAATACTTACAGATGAAGATCAAAGACTACAGCCTTCAGTATGGGTTGCACCTCAATGTCAAGATATCCTCACCACTAGATAAATGGAGAAAAGATTCAAGTTGTCTAAGACTTCATTTTTCTTGGATCCACCATCAACACTCATGGAAATATTAGTCAAGAAATCAGACAGTGCATTCCATTAGGCAAATCTGTTGCACAAAACCTCTTTAAAGTGTACAAGAGCAAAGATATCAGTTTGAGGGCTAAAATGTGCCTGATCCATGGTATTTTCAATTGCCTCATATGCATGTGAAAGCTGGACAATAAATAAGGAAAACCGTAGAAGAATTGATGTATTTAAGGTATGGTGTTGGAAAAGAACATTGTGAATACCATAGACTGTGAGAAGAGCAAGCAAATCTGTATTGGAAGAAGTACAGCCAGAATGCTCCTTAGAAGCCAGATGGCCGGACTTTGTCTCTCATATTTTGGAGATATTATCAGGAGGGGCCAATCCCTGGAGAAGGACATTATGCTTGGTAAAGTGGAGGGTCAGCGAAAAAGAGGGAGGCCTCCAACGAGATGGATTGGCCCAGTGGTAGCAGCTATGGGCTCCAGTAAGGCAACAATAGTGAGGAGGGCACAGGAGCGGGGAGTGCTTCATTCTGTTGTGCATAGAGTCAAAATGAGTCAGAACCAACTGGACAAAACTTAACAACAACAACAAGATTTAGTCAGACGAGAAGCAGCATAGGGCATTGTTTCATCTAGTATTGAATGAGGCATACTTTGCACTTTCTCCACTGGTTCCAGTGTGGAAATTTACCCCTTACTTTTCATTCCTTAATAGTCTCTATTGACCTTCAAATGCTGGTTTGATCATTTTCATTGTGAAATTATTTCCATTCTGGTTGTTATTAGCTGCCTTAGAGGCACCTCATGGCGACCCAGTGTACAAGTGAATAAAATGAAACACTGACTAATTCTACATTATGTCCATGATAGATTTTGGATCAGACTTTTGTGCTTCATAGGATTTTCATTGGCTGATTTTCAGAAGTAGTTTAGCAGGCCTTTCTTCCTAGTTCATCTTAGTCTGGAAGCTCTGCCAAAACCTGTTCAAAGTCACAGAAAAATGATGTGGCTAAACATGAGATTCATTGACCAAGAATCAAACCAGGTTTCTATATGTGAAACAAAAATCTGCGTCACTGACATAGCAATGTCCTTTCATTCCTGATCTCAAACTCACTGCCACCAAGACCACTCTGACTTGCAGAAACCTTTTTGTATAAAGCAGAACTGCTCCTTTAGGTTTCCAAAACTATGAATCTTTATGGGAGCGAACAACCTCATCTTTCTCCCTCAGCATGGCTGGTGGATTTGAACTGCTGAACTTGCAGATGGCAGTCTAATCCTGATAGGGATTTTAATTCTTATTTTTAATCTCTTCTGAATGTAGCACAATGACAGTGTCCAAAGAAAAACTTGAGGATCCCAGGGCTGTTTCCTTTTTGTATTAATGTACTCTAAAGGGAGTCCTGACATTGCGCTGTATGATAAATGCATCAGACTGCAAGGTCATTTGAACTGCAAGGTCGGTGGTTCAAGCTCACCAGTGGCTCCTTAGAAACCATATACAGGGTCACTATGGGTTGGAATCGACTTGGCAGTACTTAACAACTGCAACAAAGGACACTCAGGAATCCTGTTGTGGAGCTGTTGGATAAGCACTGGACTGCTAACCACAAGCAGTGGTGGTTCAAATCCACCAGCTGCTCCTTGAAAACACTATTCAGGGTTCATATGAGTCTGAACCAACTCGACAGCACTTAACAACACCAATAACAACAACAAATGACACTAAATAAAGTATTAGTATAATGCACAACACCAAAATAAAGTATAAATAAATAAAGTGATACTTCTCTGGGACAGAAATTTTCTCATTTCAGTTATTTGAAGACCCATGGTAACTTAACTGGTATTTTCTATGCATTTTTCAAGAACTATTTTGAAGATGAACTATAAAGAGATTTGGTGTGTGTGTGTGTATTATAGTAGCTATTTCAGGAGAGATTAGTATACAGTTTAATCCAGTTTCAGAAAGATAATCCCAAAGACATAAAATCTTAGATTTCTTTGACTGAATTCATACAAACCAGTACTTTCGTTTTTTCATGTTACAAATGAATATAAAGTAATTTATTTCAACATGATTATAGCGTTGTGAAAACATATTCATTAATATTAATAAGCTGGAGCCCACCATGTATTATGTAGTTCAGATACACTACATTTATTTTAGGTGTTTCCATATGGAATTGAGTGTGCTCATGATGAGATGAAAGCTACTGTTGTTAACTGCCTTGAAGTCTGTTCTGACTCATGACACCCTATATAGGGTTTCTGAAGAGTGGCTGGTGGGTTTGAACTATTGACAGTGATGTTAGAGTCCAATGAAAGTAGAGAAAGGAAAATACCTGAAGCAACCTAGCTTTTTCTAGTTGTTCAGTCATCAAGCCAGGGGTTTGGCCTAACAACCTTAAGTATCACTTTCAGCATTCTAGAACCGCTTTAAAAATCAACTCTGGTAATTAGGAGTTAGGCTGGTAACCTCAAGGTCAGCAGTTCAAAACTACCAGTCGATGAGGTTTACTGCTCCTGTAAAGATTTACAGCTTCGAAAACCCTATGCAAGCTCACTACGAGAAAGGACCAACTCCACTGCACATCACCACCACCACCACACGAAATTGTTGAAGAGGAACCTAACTTGGGGTGTAGACTTTCATTGAAAACACAACAAAATATATTTTTTTAATCTACATAACTTTAGAATTGTCACCACAAAAGAAAAACACTGAAGCAAGAAATGGGCTTAGGAAAGAGTACTTGGAAGCAACCACCAAGCTCTGGGGAAGGATGGTAATAATGATTACTCTTACAGCCACTAAATAATTTAACAGAAGAGTTAATATTCTCAGAGCAAAAAAAAAACTGTGTTTATAACTCTGACGATCCCTGTTTCCTAATTTCTCCACAGTCAGTTTCCCCAGAAGATGGATCGGCATCTCTTCTTAGTGGTGTATTTCCGATTTCCAAAAATTTCCTGCGGTAAAGTAGGCTTCCTTAACGCCCAAACACAATTGTTTCACAGGTTTGGAAACTGGCGCCCTCCTCGCTGCCCTCAGCCTGTTTACCCTGGAGCCACAAGTTGAAGCAAGAATTTGCTAAGCACTATTCATGGACACCAGCTGCTCGTTGGAAACCCCATACAGGGTCTTTATGGGTCGGAATCGCCTTGAGGGCACTTCACAACAACAATAATTCATGGATAACGGCCTTAGCGCCTCAAGGCTTTCTAATGGTGCCTTCATCAGGATGGGCGACTCGCTCCCCACTTGTCCCAGCAGATGAGGGTCCCGTCCGCTGAAACCCTATTTCCGGGACCTGACAGCAAACCTCTACCAGGGAGACAACTGACGCACTCCCCTCCCCCGCGCGCCTCTAAGCGCACAGTGGGGCAGCTCCAGCCACCAAGTGCCGAGAGTTGCAGGCGCAGCGAGAGGGCACCCTCCCTCGTCCTCACACTGCCACCCGCCTCCTCCGGTTTATCCGAATCCAGGGTCAAACGGGGCAAGTTGGGCACCTTCACTCACACATCAAGTGCCCCTGAGGTGCCGAGCGGTGAGGGGCGCACTGGCGGGAAAGGCCCTAGGGCGCAGGGAGACGACCCTAGTCCTTGAAAAGCTGGCTCGAAGGCGCAGCCGGGTAAGCCAGGAGAGGCGGCTGGGGGGTGGGGGGAGGACAGAGCGGGGGCGGAGCGGCGGCTCCCGCCTCCTCCGTAGTCCATCTCCTCCTCCTCGTCCTCCTCTGGCAGTCATCGCCTTGCAGAGCTGAGGAGCCAGGAGTCCACGGCACTGGCTCGGGGCTGCGGGATGGGGAGTTAGCGCCACGGTGGCGGCAGTGGCCGCAGCGCAACCGGCCGCCGCCCCCGGGCCGGTTCCGCCAGGGGCGCCGGGCGCGGCCAGTCAGCCCCAGAGCCAGGCCCGCAGGCGGCGGTGGCAGCAGCGGAGTTGGGCAGGTGGATGCGGCTGGAAGATGGCGCCCTCGGGCCCGGGCAACGTCAAACGGCGGTGCCGGCGGGTGCTATACTGGATCCCGGTTGTGTTCATCGGCCTCCTTTTGGGCTGGTCTTACTATGCCTACGCCATCCAATTATGCATAGGTGAGTGCGCCTCACCCCCCACCCCCATGCTCCTCGCTCCTCACTCCCCGCCGCGGGCCCCGAGACCCTCGCGCGACCTCCACTGGGGCTCAGCCCTCCGGCCGGCGGAAAAAGTGTACAGTCCTGTCAACAGCTCCCTATAAACCCCCTTCGCATCCCACCCGGACAGTACTAGGACTCCGAGAACCTGGGCGTACACATTCTCTTCCTACTCCGGAGACTCCTCTGTCCCCTCCTCCCCCAACACCCCTGAACATTACTCTGGGCTGGATCTCCGCTACACTGGGGCCGAAAGCAGTCTCTGGGCAGCCTCCTTCCTTCCCCACTACCATTTCCTTCCCCAGAACAACTCTCCAGTTACTGTGTCAGCCACCCTAACTCACTAGCAGCCAAGCCAACCCCACCCCAGCCACACCCCCTAGCTGGGCAGTAAAGTACCCGGGAGAACTGTGATCTCCTCTATCAGCATCAGCATCCTTGTTGAGAGATGAGGCCGGGAAGGCTACGATAGGGGCTGCAGGACTAGGCTGGGCCCAGAGTCCGAGCTGTGCCAAACTCTGCCAAGCATGGTAGCCTCGGCCTCTGGTGTCAGACCTACTGTAATTCATCTTTAACATTTTTGTGACCGCCCTGCAAGGCGGTTATGCTGCCTTTATGATTTGAAGATTACCGATTGGACACTTTCTAGTTTAAGGGCAGGGGTGGAGGAGAGATGTTAGAAAGTATTTTCAGACATCAAGTATACAAAACCCTACTTTAGATGTGAGAATCATGGGATGGAGGAAGGGTCACTATCTGAGGTTCTTTTCTTTCAAAGAGCCCAAATCCAAGTTTAGGTTTCTGAATTGGTGGATTCGGGTACTTTCAATGTTAAAATTTTTAAAAAGGAAGAAAGAGAGGAAGAGAAAGAAAGAAGGGATGAAGGGAGAGAGAAAAAGGAAGGAGGGAAGGAAGGAAATTGATTTTGCAGAGCTATTGAATAAAATTACGTTCTTTAATGAAAACTGGCTTCTACCTTCAGAGGTTTCTATGAAAACGATTCGGCCTATGAGAACAGGTGTTAAAACAGAGGTAGCCCTTTGTGTTAATAACACTGTGAATTTTTTTATGTGTGTGTTTGTCATTCCACCTACAAAACTGTCTACATTTTTGCCCTACCAAGCGTTTAGCCTGAGGTGTGAGTAGGAGAAAGATTAACAGTTGAACCTTTCAAATTTAAGCATTTTCAAAGCTTCAAGGATCCAGACATATAATGTTAGCTGGAAACCATCTTATCTCAAAAAGTTGCCCCTTGTGAGAAATAGTAATGTCCAAACCATACACCAAAATAATGACTAATATAAATTTGAAGGGAATGTTATTGTGTTGTTAAATGCCATCAAGTCAGTTCCAACCCATAGTGATCCTGTACAGGGTTTCCAAGGAGTAGCTGATGAGCTTGAACCATCGACCTTGTGGTTTACACTGACATTGCAGTCCTGCACATTAACCTACAGTGCCACATCAGGATCCCTTGAAGGGTATTTTGGTGGTGTTGTTAAAGTGCTGTCAAGTCGGTTCTGACTCATAGTGGCCCTGTTTAGGGTTTCCAAGGAGTGGCTGGTGAGTTTGAACTGCTGACCTTATAGTTCAAACTGATCTTGCTGTCCAGTGCATTAACCCGCAGCACCACAAGAGGACTCCTTGAAGGGAATGATGGTACATGGTGGTTATGTGCCGTGGAGTCAGTTTCGACTCATAGTGACCCTGTACAGGGTTTCCGAGGCTGTAAATCTTTATGGGAGCAGAAAGCCTCAACTTTCTCCAGCGGAACAGCTGGTAGTTTCTAACTGCTGACCCTGAGGTTCACAGCCCAATTCGTAACCACTATGCTACCAGAGCTCCTTGAAGGGACTGTTGCTGTTGTTGTTGTTAAGTGCCGTCAAGTCGATTCAGACCAATAGAACTCTGTATAGGGTTTCTAAGAAGCAGCTGGTGAGCTTGAACCACTGACTTTGCAGTTCAAATGACTTTGCAGTCTGACGCATTAGTCCAATACGCCACACCAGGACTCTTGAAGGGAATAGACACTACTAATTTCATATGGTTTTAAACTTTACTATTATTGCTTTGCTTATTGCAACAAAGACAATTTTTAGTATCAAAAATTAGAATTGTAATAAGAATACTAGTAAAAGGGACTAGACAGTGCATTTTGGTAGATAAAATGTATAGGAAGAAAGCTTCCAGAAGCATTGTGTAATTTTTGTATTGACTTCTAATATAAAATAGTTTGTCTTGCTGTGATACACATGTTATGTTACATAAATATTAGGAGGCTTTATTGTATTTCAGTCCTTCACCCTCTTAAAAACTTGAACAGTTTCAATTAATGTAACTGGTGCAAAGGAGGGAAGACCTATAAAGCCTTGATTATAAAAACAGGCAGCTTATGCTCCTAAATTTTCACATTAAGAAGCTTAGCTTGGTGCAGTATCTCATGTCCATGAGGTATTTAAAGGCAAGGCATGCTTTTCTTCTCTTACAAGCAACTTGACCATGGTCAACTCTACTTTGAAGAGGCAACTCTTTCCCCATCACATTTTGAGTGCCTTCCAACCCAAGGGACTCATTTTCTGGCACTATATCTGACAGTGTTTCTTTGCTATTCATAAGGTTTTCGGTGACTAAATATTCAGAAGTAGTTCATCACTCCTTCTTCCTAGTCTGTCTTCATCTGGAAGCTCATCTGAAACCTGTCGATGATGGGTGACTCTGCTGGTATTTAAAATTCTGGTGGCATAGCTTCCAGAATCACAGCAACTCACAAGCCACCACAGTACACAAACTGACAGACCAGTGGTGGTTGGCTGGTTAGAAGGTTGAAATTAACCATGCAATCTGTTTTTAAACTCCCAAACACACTGCCATTAAGTCAATTACAACTCATAGCAACCCTGTATAGTTTCTGAGGCTGGCAATCTTTATGGGAGTAGAAAGCTTCCTCTTACTCCCTCAGAGAGGCTAGTGGATTCAAACTGCTAGCCTTGTGGTTAGCAGCCCAATGCATAACCCACGACACCACCAGGTACTGGAAAAAATAGCAACCAGTGAAGTAGACACATAAAACCAACCCTCCCCTCCCCCACCCCGCTTCTTGTCACAAAATAAATGAAAATGCCAACCCTCCCACACCCACACCCACCTCTCATCTCCACATTAATTACGTTGTGCAGTGCCCTGCCCCTTGTGGATTATTTAACTCTTGAAAGTTGTGTTTACAATCAGATTTTGCAAATTTCACCTATAAAGCAATGGCCAAAGGTTGACACCAAAGAGTGGAGGTCAGAGTCTGGGAACTGCAATAGGTAAATGAAGAATGGAACAAACAGTTATTTACTTTGATCCTCCTCCTCCATCTGCTGTCAGCTAGGGATGACCCTGAATATAAATTACTCTGTGCCCTTTGCTGAATGAACTGCAATTTAGGAGTAGTACTTATCCTGGTATCCTTGGAAACTGGAGATAATGATTCTCATTACAGTTAGTTTCTATATTTAACATCGTGGATGTATGTGGCTCTCTTGACACTCTTTCCGTTAGCATCATTTTTGTGTTTGTCTTTCATGAAAATAAACTCATATCTCTTTCTAGAATGTGTATACATATGTTGTATGAGAATCAAGGGGTAAGTTTGCTTCTGACTCTGTCAAAGGAAAAATAAAATTGGATTGTCATACTGGCAATCATTCAGTTCATGATTATCCAGTTTACTTATTAATGAAGACCTTTATTCATACTATTCCTTCCCCTCCTTTCTTCACTCCCTTACCCCTTTCCACTCTCCCTGCCACCCCTCCCCTCCACCCCTGGTTTCTTTTGTGTGTTATCTATCTTTGGTTCCTGTAATTATTAGTTAGCTCATTTGTCATAAAGTAATATATATTCAAAGGGTAGAGTTTATACTTTAGGCAGCAGAATTAAAGGGAGTAAGGGTAATTTAAAGCCTCAGGAATATCATGACCACCACTCATCTGTCAGTTTGTCATTCTGTAGTGGCTTGTGTGTTGCTGGGAGCTGGAAGTTATGCCACCGGTATTTTACATACCGGCAGGGTCACACTTGTTGTTAAGTGCCGTAGAGTCGGTTCCGACCCAGAACAATCTTGCATAAGATTTCTGAGGAGCAAGCTGGTGAGCTTGAACCAATGATCTTGTACTTCAAACCGACTTTGCAGACCAGCGCCTTAACCCACAGCATCACACCAGGACTTCAGGGTCACAAAGAGTGGACAGGCTTTAGCAGACTACGGAGAAGGAGAGGTGGACCACTTCTGAAGGGTTAGATGGATCAACACAGCGGCAACAAGGGGCTCAAACAACAACAATTGTGAAGATGAAACAGGGCTGGGCAGTGCCTCATTCTGCTGTACACAGGGTCTCCATGAGTTGGAACCAACTTGATGGTACCTAACAACATGGCTTCTATGTTTTACAGATCAGTCATGGCAGTTGATATGTTGCATTTGCATGTAAGCAGCAAGAATTTTCCCTTTTAAATGCTAACATTTAAAATTTTTTTACCTATTTTTTGCTACTATTTATTTTGTTATAATTTCAACTTTACAGAAAAGTTTTGACAATAGTACGACAGCTTACCCATACTTCTTTTTAACCACTTTTGTGATCTTTTTTTCTAAAATGCATCACACACTTCCTTGCTACAAAGTTTTTGCTATTGTGTTATAATGCGTTTCTGAGTTTGCTTAGGGTTTTACTGAAGTCATTTAAAAAATTCATGGAGGATCATTCAGGCTAACTTCCTCCCTCATTTGTAAATGAAAAATTTATATGTTCGACCTCAAGGTTCAAACTGTAAGGTCAGCTGTTCAAACTCACCAGCCACTCCTCTGAAACCCTATGCAGGATCTCTATGAGTCAAAACCGGCTCAACGGTAATTAACAACAACAATAATGTCCTGTAACAGAGCCCTGGTAATGTCTCATTTTTCCCTGGTCCCT